AAGAGTGTCGATGATACCAGATAAGTTTATTCAAATCCTGATCTCAACTAGAAAATCCACTCCTCCTTTGCTTAGTTTACGCTCTACGTCTTTCACGTTATTTTTGGTCGAAAAGTTTGAGGAGGCAATTTCATAACTTAGAGATCATCAACGGTAACACTTGTAAGAGAGAGAGAAAGAGAGAGAGTACGCTGAGGTAGACTTGAATATCGCGGGCAAAATTATTTTTTACTCTTAAAGTTTCAAGTGCCTATCATAATGTAACCGAGCGGTCCTCTCAACTAGGTCGCGATGATGATGTCGGCCACCTTCAGCAGGCAACTAGACGAATCTCGTGGTTCCACTCGACAGTACGTAAGACTTCTTCCGCGACAGTAAACTTAGTAAGATTGGTTACATTGCCGTACTTTAACCTTGTACGCTATAATTTCACGCCACGGAAACATCTGTATCCTTCAAGGAATGATTATTATATTGGATATAGGAGGCTTGATAATTACAGATCCTCGTAGTTTAAAGGTATAATTATCGAAGTCTTCTTCCGCGACAGTAAACTTAGTAAGATTGGTTACATTGCCGTACTTTAACCTTGCACGCTATAATTTCACGCCACGGAAACATCTGTATCCTTCAAGAAATGATTATTATATTGGATATATAGGAGGCTTGATAATTACAGATTCTCGTAGTTTAAAGGTATAATTATCGAAGTCATATATATTCTTGCATTCAAGATAAATACACGGAAAATTGTTACTTATTGCGTCTATTTTGCTAGATCATATTTTGCTATATTTGGACTAATCATGTATAAAATAGCCTAACGGATTTTTAAATGTTGCAAAAGTGTGTGAAAGAGAGAGAGATAGAGAGAGACAAGTGAGAAAAAAACACTCCCCCTTCTCCATAATTAAATACCTGTACCTGTGTCGCCGGTATTATATTTAGCAACTGTAGAACAACTAATTCCAACTAGCGCGTTCACGAACCATTTAACTTGGTAACTTGTCCTATCACGCATGTTCCTATTTGTCCTTTAGCAGTCGCGGCGTTCGTGTGTAGATGTATTGGTGCGCGAAGGTGCGATGCAAATACGCGGGCATGCACCGACCTTATCAGAATTATCAGAGCACTGTTTCCTGGCCCACTCCGTATCCGTATGAAGTTCCCGCACAATAGACAAAGTTTCCGCGACCCAACGATTATCTCGATTTGAGCCCGGCGCGCTTGGCGATGCATACGAATTCTATAGAAATCGCTAAGAGCGAGATACTCTTGAGTGTGTGGTCGTAAACTCCGCGGAGGATCGTACGCATGTTACACGTAATAGCGGTAAGCCACAATCATCGCGACGAATAAAACTATTTGCTACTAAATGCAAACGTGGTAACTAAAATTGCAAGGCCTTCGTACAAAAGTGAACAAATTCCCAAACTTCTCGCGGTGTGTAACTTTATGTAAACGCTCGTAAGCCATAACGCAAACTGCGTCAAATGTTATAGATAATGACAATGAAAGAGATAGTGGTGATAATGATGTTTCCAATTAAAACTTGAAAATACATACTAATGAGGGAATGTAGATTTGCGTAAAGTTCGGGCAGAAAATCGGTGGGAAGTCGTATCTCTATAAAGTTTGCTGAGATCGTTTAAAGATTTCCCACATTTATGTGCTCGTGGTCGAGTT